CTGCCTCAGATTCTCTTTGGTTAATGCCTCTCCCACTCCATGAAGAACCTTCCCATGTCTAAGTCTTCATAGTTTCACTTGTAGACAATTAAAATAGCCTCTTGCCACTTTCAAATCTATCTTTCGCACTATAGTCTCAAGCAGTATTTCTGTCACTTAAAGTCCATTAAGTTGGTCCTCTGGATAAGATTATCCCAGTAAGCCCAGCCCAGCTTGCTCTCCTGTTAGCCCTCACACCCATGCTGACCCTTTGGTCTCCATAGTTTTATTACACTTCTTGAGTGCTGGCTGGTGGGCTTTGGTGCCTAGAATGTCCTTGCCTCTTTTGTCTGCTTGGTAAAGTCCTGCTCATGTCAGGGGCTGTTTCTCTGGGAGGCTGTTTGCTAGCGCTTCTGCAAGGGCCTCTTTGCCTGGCTTGTGCTCATGCTGCTGCGTCTACCCTACCTCCCTGTTCACCTGTGTACATCCACATCTCCTTGACAAGCCTGTGAACTCCTTAACAGAGGGGTCTGGGGCTTGTTTATCTTTGTCCTTCTAGTGGCACAGGGTGGGCATGTCCAGGTGTTTTGTAAGTGTTTCTTAAATTGAAGACCTGTTGATAAAGGAGTGGCACATTACATGCAGCTAGTTAAACATGAAGCTCCATCCAGAAGGCTCTTCATAAAGGAGTCTGGCTTCCAGGACCTGTTTACTGTGTGGTTCCGATTCTTCTCATAACAAAGCACAGGTCTCAAGGCAGCCTCCCCTGCCCTTGCCGGCCACGTTCATCCATCCAGCAGGTGGACATGGGTACATAGAGTCAAGCCTAAATATTTAATATGTTCAGGCTTCTAGCATAGTGGTTCTCAAACCTTAGTGTGCACCAGAATCACTCTGGGCCTCACGCCTGGAATTTCTGATCATAGACAGTCTGGGGTGGATCTTGAGAATCTACATCTCTAATAAATTGCCAGGTATTGGGGATGGTGTTGGTCTACTCTTTGAGAATATCTGTTCTAGCAAAAAGATTTGCTTTAGCAATTATTACTCTCTACTGTGCTGGGGAAGGAAATAGAGGGAGCTTTTTTCTTGGGTATGGTTTTACAGATTTTAAGAATAATTATCTAAGTTCAAAATAATGTTTTGAAGGTATAGTTTGTGCACGGCCACATACAAGATGGAGTTGATGATATCAATATGAAATAGATATGAAACTGTCGTTAAGAGAGGTCCTCCAGTTCAGATTTAGCCATAACTCAGGGAGTCCAAAGGAGAATTGCCTGCCCTGATCAGTAGTGAGTTTCCTATCAGTAGAGTTTTCCAAGAACAGGCTTCTAGAGATTCCTGAGAATAAAACAGTTCTATGAATGATTAGAGTAAATGACCATTAACATCCTGAAATTCTGTGATTAAGGAAAGTAGTGGTGATTGACATGACAAAACGGCACAAGTGAGATGTTGTGGAGTTTATTCTGGGAGATCTGCAGAGGCTGCTGAAGCTGCCTTAATTAAATATTTTAATCAACACTTATTCCTCACCCATAGTATGCTTGGTGACTAAATAGATTTATATCCAATGACCCCATAACTTGCTGCTTATTAACCTCAGATCATTTAAAAATTTAAATAGAAAAAGCCATAGGCCGGCCCAGAGTGTATTTCAGGGGCCTGTTTGGGTCCTGCTTCCAGAGTCACATGAAATTGAGATGCATAGAGCCATTTTGTCTTTTTTGCAATATTTATGAGAGAGAGGTGAAAGAGTGACAGAGAGAAAGTGCAATTGTAGGCCTTGAATTTATAGTTAATAGGTAACCAACTTGAATTTCAAACTCCTGTCTTACCTTATTGAGGAAGTCCAACCAGTTGCCAGATTCCATGGAATAAGACCAGGTGTCAGAGCCCCCTTTTCAGTCATTTACTATTAATTGAGCATCTATTAATTGCTGGGTACCAAGTGAGATGCTTTACAAGTACTACTTATAATCCCTTTACCCATCCTTCAAGGTAAGTTCTGTTATCCTCCTTTACAGCTAAAAGAAAAGGCATAGGCAGATATATCTTGTCCAATTTCACACAGGAAGACTCTTCAATGCATTTTTGGATGTTGACACAACTGTAAAATAGAAACTCATAAAACATAATCCAAAAATTATAGATCTATCTCAAGTCTGAGTACTGATGCGAAGTACAAGATTAGCAAATAGAATGCGGCAGTATATCAAATGAATAATACACTCTGGCCAAGTGCATTCTAGGAATGCAAGAATAGTTCAATAATAGGAAATATTAGGAAATCAGCATAATTTACCTTATCAATGACTAAAAAAGAGTTATACATTAGTAGATGTGGGAGGGCAGTTCATAAACTTCTCTTATAATAAAACTCTAAAACAGGAATAAGAGGAACTACTTAAATTTGGTAAAGACTAAGAATGAGCCACATATATTGTTCTTTACAGTGAAACACTAAATCCAACTTCCTTAAAGTGGGAAATGCTTGCTTTTGCTATTTGAAAATATTGCCTTAGTAGTTCATAGAAATGAATTAACTGAAGATAAAATAGTCTGTGTAAATATGGAAAAGAAGATAGGGCATTATTTTTGCCAACAATTATCTAGCAACCCCCCTAAGAGAATATAGTAGGAAAAGAAGCCCTACCAGAAGTAATAAGGGTACTGGGCGAGACCACTGGATACCAGCTCTTCTCTGTGTTGTTGGGGTCATGCAGCTGGTGAACTTCAGCAGCTGAGCTGGGATTTGAACCCAGGTATGATGCTGAAGTCTGTGCCCTCTCCACTCGGAAGCTTTTATGCTCATTGGTATGACTCGGTCACATCAGCATCAGCAGAAGGGAGAGAGTCTGTCAGTTTGTGACCCTCAAGCACTCCAACAGGGGAGGTCAAGCTTGCCCTGCTGGGGAGGGAGGAGACAGGCTTAGAGGCTTGGCACAGAAGTTTTACTGTGAAGAACCTCGAGGCTTCTGCTAGCAGTGGTACCATCCCCCTTGGGGCTGAGGCATCAGACTTGTATGTGGGAGGTTGAGGGTGTGTCATCTTGAGCCATTAGCCAGATCTCTGTCTCCCAGGTACTGAGCAGCCACCCAACGGAACTGCTCCCCTTTCTTCTTGGCTCCAAGGAACCATATTGCTTGCTGTGCCCTTGTCTCGGCTGTTTCACTTAAGAGGTAGTGCTTGTGGGAATGCTTTTTATTAATTTGGGGTGTCAGAGGCTGCCCCAGGTTTCAGGGCCACAAGCTGTTGGTTGCCATATCCACCCACCAATGATGCCTCAGCTGTGTGGTTTACATAGTGGGAGTGGAAGATGTGTTTATGCCACAGAATCTCTGGATGATACAGCAAAAGTATTATCCATATAAAACGTTTCCTTTTCATACAGTGTCAGCCATGGGGTGGTGGAAGGAACACCACATAGGAATGCAGGAGACATGGGTTTGGTGGCTGTGCCACAGCTAGCTGTGTGTCCCAGGCCAGTCCCTTAGCACTGCCAGCCTCACCCTCCTCATCTGTGCTGGGGGATGTTGCCTTGCATAGATTCCCAGTGCCCTTTGAATTCAAAATCATGCCCTGTACCATAGTTAGTGCTTTGCATAGAGGTTAACTCATCACAACCCTGTCAGGTAAGTCCTTTTATTACTCAGAGAAAAAATGGAGGCACAGAGAGGTTAAGCGACTTGCCCAAAGTCTCACAGCTAGGAAGTGGTGGAGTACTTATATGGCTCTTAGCCTTCATGTTCACATGTGTGGTTTTTCTCTACCTGAGCCATGTGATTATAGGGGTGTTGGTTCTGTCGGGTAGGGGAATGGAGTGTTGGGGGTGGGAGCCATTTCTTAAGCTGGGCTCTGGGGCGGATGGCCGGGGGCTGCCGCCTGGGAGAAGGATAGCGATGGTTACAGAGTTGCTGATGTCTGCTTTCCTCCTTTTTTCCTCTTTTCCTTTCTAGTCTGCGGCAAGCGCTACAAGAACCGGCCGGGACTCAGCTACCACTACGCTCACACTCACCTGGCCAGTGAGGAGGGGGATGAGGCCCAAGATCAGGAGACCCGGTCCCCCCCAAACCACAGAAACGAGAATCACAGACGTGAGTGCCCGCTTGTTAGGTCGGGCAGTGAGGATGTGGGTGGGCAGGGCTGGGAGTGTGCCTTTGTTTCACCTCTGGCATCTTCTGGTGGCAACTGCTGAGTTGGCCCTTTCATATCAGCCCGCTGTCCCTGCGGCTCGGCTGAGCCCCACATTTAGAGTAGGCTGGGCAGTGCTCACACATCCAGCTCTGCTCACTCAGGAAGGAAGGTGAGTGTAAAGCAGGAGAGCGTCTTTTCCTGGCTTCTGTCAGATGCCAGGCCTGCAGCTCTTTGCCCTCCACTCCAGAAGACCCACTACAACTGCTAGACTGAGTTTGGGCAGATATTCCGAATGTTGGCATGGCCTCTCAATGCCTTAGAATGTTCTTATTTATTGCTGTGGCTTTGTGATAAGGTGTTTCAATTTTGATACACAGCTCTCCTGCCTTGGCAATACTACCTGGAGACTTCATGTCAGTTGCTCAAGCACAGAAATGACAAATGTGGTCTGGATGGATTTATCATTTGGGATGTTGTATTCTGAAGACCCAAAATGATCCTGAAGATTTTTGTTTTCATTTCTGTTCTTTCTTTCCTACCTCAACTTCTCGTTATGAATTAGGGATTCACCTGGCATTTACCATTTACCATTTGACATCCTTCTAGAACATCCCTTATGGTCTTAGGGCCTATAAAAAACTCAAAATGGGGTGAGAACACGGAACCTTAGAGCTCACTTCAAGATGTGAGCCATGCTGAGATCTTTTGTGAAGAGTATTTGTGAACATGCCTTGTTTTTAAAAATTTTGTTCACAAGATTTTGTGGTAGGTGTTCTTAAAGTGAACAACTCAATGTCATTAAAGGGACCAGATCTTTAAAAATATATGACTGGGATTTGGGGATGATTCCTGTGCATTCCCATGATTTCCTGGGGATTAACTTAGTCAGCTGATGTCAGTTGGCCACCTTCATCAAATATTTGGAATAACTAACACACCTGTGACAAGACCTTTAGTGGGATTAGTATTTCTTTGTTTCATCTCTGGCATCTTTGGTTAACAATGGCTGAGTTGACTCCTTTGTGTCAGCCAGCTGCTTGGTTTGCCAGGACTTTCATAGCAAAATGCCACATCCTGGGAGGCTCACACAGCAGACATTTATTTTCTTACAGTTCTGGAGGCTGGAAGTCCAAGGTCAAGGTGCCAGCAGGACTGGTTTCCTCCAGGGCCTCCCCCTTGGTACCTCATCACAGGATCATCCTTTGTGTGCACATGCCCTGGTGTCTCTTTTTGTGTTCAGTTTTCCTCTTCTGAGTTCAGGTGCCTTCTGAGGACATCCGTCAGATTGGGTATTATGGTCCACCCAACAGCCTCATTTCAACTTTACCTCTTAAAACACCTCTTTAAAGACCCTCCCTCCAGTGGTTTGGGGTAGGAAGCACTGTTTAGCTCATAGCATCATCTTTAATTTTTGCTTACCTTCAAGGTTCAGGCCTTGAGCGTGACAGACCCCTGTTTCCTCACCTATTGTTGTTGTCCAGAAAGAATCTGAAAAGCAGAGGAGGCGGTGTCCCACGGAGCCTGCCTGCCTCTCCTCAGAGGCCCGAGCAGCCCCTGCACTGCCTTCTCTCTAGGAAGAGGTTTCTTTGGTTCACTCACCCTTGTCTTTCAGAAAGGAAAATTTGTTGACCTTTACCGAGGCAGCTGCTACTTGCATTTCCCTGTCTCTTCTCTTTTCTCTGGTCCCTCGCAAGGAGCTGTTGTCTCCTACCGTGAGGAGGCTGGGAATAATCTCCTTTGATTTTGGTCACTATCTGGAAAGTATTTATTAGCGATTGTTGCCCTCCCTAAAGTGTTTATTGGCTGGGTATTATTTCTCACTCCCTGGGTGCTGGCTTATCTCCTTATGTCTCTTCTCAAATGTCAGGCCATTTTGTTCCTGCATCTAGGTGCTTTATTCATGCTCTGGGGTTTGGAATGCTTCTCTCTTGTCTGTGCCTCATTTTTCTTGGTTCTCCTATAGCTTTTTATGAGCAGAGTGTGTGTGTACGTGTGTGCATATGTATGTGTACATGTATATGCATGCGTACGTATATCTCTATGTGTACGTGTATATGCAGGCATGCACATGTATATGTGTGCGTGTATGTGTGTGTACATGTATATGCATGCATATGTGCGTATGTGTGTACATGTATGTGCATGCATACATGTGTCTCTATGTATATATGTGTATGCATACATGCATGTGTACATGTGTGCGTGTGTGTACATGTATATGCATGCATATGTGCGTAAATGTATGTACATGCATACATGTGTCTCTATGTATATATGTGTATGCATACATGCATGTGTACATGTGTGTGTACATGTATATGCATGCATATGTGTGCACATGTATGTGCATGCATACATGTGTCTCTATGTATATATGTGTACGCATACATGCATGTGTATATGTGTGCGTGTATGTGTATATGTGTGCGTGTATGTGTGTACATGCTTCTGTGCATATGTGTGCACATGTATGTACATGCATACATGTGTCTCTATGTATATATGTGTACGCATACATGCATGTGTACATGTGTACATGCATGTGTGTGTACAGGTGCATGGCATTGGCGACAGTAGGGAAGGTCAACTGTAAACCCTAAGAGAAAGGAGGCAGTCTCTTCAGCTTTTCCCATGGTCCCCTGCAGACCCCTCCAGGTTGGCTGTTGACTTCTGAGGCATATTTTATTCTGTCCACCAGGATCTCCTCCACTGGTAGGTGTCTTTGGCCTCCTGTGGCTTCCCCTTGCTTAGGAAGGAAGCCGGGTCTGTCTCTCCTCCTATGTGGAAATGCCTCCTAAGAGGCCTCACGGGATGCTTCTCCTCTCTCGGCTTTGTCAGGGAGCATGCAGGTACCAGCCTTTTCCTCTCTCCCCCGTTTTCTCTTTCTTACCTTGTGGATGAGAAATTGGGTTTATCAAAAAGGACCATTTGACTGGCCAAAGGTTTTAAACCTCAGAGAAAAGAATAGTTATGCCTGAGTGGATCTAGGGCTTCCTCACATGAAGAAAGTTCTGGAACCCTCACAAATACCTTTTTAATGACATCTGCAGGCAGCATCCTCTCTTAGAGCTCTCTGATTAACCCTAGTTTTGCTGGTGGGGAGGGTGCAGCAGAAAGCCTTTAGCATCCACCTAAGCCATCCTTTCCTTCTTTCCTGGTTTCTTTGGAAAAACCCAAGAGACAGCTGCTCTTCCTGGGTTCTCTGTACCACACTCACCGCTGATTTGCTTCCTGCTCCAAATGTGTGCTCTGTTCCCTCCCACGTTCCCCTGGTGAGCAGCCCCCCAACCATTTTCCTGTGAGCACTAATTGCCAGTATCATTAATACCCAGTCATTAGCTGCTCCCACTGTTTGGGGGCAGGGGGCGGCTCCCATCCATCCTGCCCCTAAATGCCACTGGGGCTGTGTGCTGAATTGAATGTGACAACTTGGCAGTATCCTGAGGTCTCAGCTTCGTGAGCCTCCTTTGGCAGGGCTTTTGCGGAGGGGGAGGGAGGCAGTAGGGCCGAATCCAAGAGGCCAATCTGCAGCTCCCCCTGGGGAAGGGCTGGACACCAGTGGAGAGAAATGCTGACTTCCCCTGCTTAGCAGAGCTACGGGGTGGCCCAAGCTGCTTGTGAGTGGGGGCTGGGGTTGGGGGTTGCCATAGCTAGTAGAGAAACAGCCCTGCAGACCCAGGGGTTTGCAGGGGCACGGGTGTGTACTGCCCACAGCTGCAGAGACCTCTGGACTTTGCTCTTCCTGTTGTCCCTTGCGCTGTCCCCCCAGCTGTGTTTTCAACAGAGCCCATTGCTCACCTGCCTGCTGCGCTCAGAGGGCAGAGTGACGTTTCCCAGCCAGCGCTGACCCCCCTCCTCCAGCCTGCTGCCCTGCTGCCAACTCAGCAGTGACTACCCTCCCCACACAGGCTCTCTCGCCTTTGTTTCTCTCCTGGTCTCTCATTTTCTCCTGAGCATACATTTCTTGTTTCCTGTGGATTTGTACCTTGCCACTCTGCCCTACCTGTGGCAGCCCAGGGTGCGTAGGGCACAGATACCCCCTCGGGAGAGAGTAGTTCTCGGATGGAGTCTTCCCTATGTGGCTGCTGCCCTTCCTGTTCCCATGTGAGGCTCGATTCTTCCTCCCACCATTTTTCTCATCACCTTTGTCTGCTTTCTACAAATACAACATGTGCGTGTGTACATATGTGCAGACATACACACATAGATGTGCATATAGAAAGGGAGGGGGCTAAGTAGGGGAGGACTCTGAGGGGTGCACTCAGAAGCACCCCACTGTTACTCCTTAGGCTTAGGCAGCCCCATGGGGCAGGGCAGCAGAAGGGCACTGGATTAGAAGTCAAAGCCCCTTTGACATAGGCTCACAATGTCTACAGTCTTCTTGAATTTCTTTTTACCTTCTCTTCACGGTGGCAATTGATTATAGATCCTTTAAAGGTACTTTTTAGGGTGGGGATGGGCAGTCACGAAGTCCTGGACCTAGAGGACAAAGCTGTGTAAATAAATTTGTTTAACCCTTCCGATCTATCCAGCCAGCCAGCCACCTACCTGTTTAATAACCATGTATTGAATCCTGTCTGTATGCTGGGACTGAGAAATACAGACGAATAAGGCTCTGTCCTGTCCTTGAGGAGCTCACAGTCTTGAGTGTGAGTGTGTAAAGGGTGTGCACAGACTGGTCAAGGACCTCAGGGGTCAAGGGTGCAGGGTATTTTCTGTGTCTCACGACAGTGGTCTTTCAAGTGTGGCATCAACTCCACCTGGGAATTTGCTGGAAATTCAGATTCTCAGGCTTCACTAGCCTTTTTGAAAGAGACAGTCCAGGGTTGAGGAACTGCAATCTGGGTTTCAAAAGCCCTCTGGGAGGCCGGGCATGGTGGCTCATGCATGTAATCCTAGCACTCTGGGAGGGTAGATTGCTTGAGCTGGTGAGTGGGAGACCAGTCTGAGCAAGAGCGAG